AAGTCCACCGGTCGGTCGGGTAAAGTTCATTTTTCGGCGTCAAAGAACGCCGGCGATCGAAATTATCGTCGGACCGCCTCGTCAATGGTGACTCCCACACGGTTGAGTTGTTTTTTTAACGAACAGAGCAACTTTTCTCGTTCGGTTCACCGTCGAGCGAGCGGATCCGCGAATCTCGCACGAGCCGGCGACCGTCACGAGCGATTTATTTTCGACGCCGACGATAAACGGTCTATCTCTATGAATTTTCGGCGCCGGCTCGCGCTAGAACGATAATCGGCACGCGGAGATTAATCGTTCCCGTTCGCCGCGTTGGAGGGACGAAGAAATTCAGAGGTCACGGGGGACCGCCGCTTTATCGGGCGCGAACGGTCACGGCCGGCGGATCTTCGATCGATTCGCGATCGAGGAACCTCTCGTGGCCTTCGGGCTTCCTTTAACCCTTTGCGCTAGCCAATTTTTTGGTAGGAGTATTTTAATGTTCGATGGTGAGGCGAAGACGGTATTTTGGGAAACTCGAAGAGAAATCACGTACATCGAGGAACAAAGATATTTTGTTGAAATACTTGTCAAATTGATGCATACGTGGTATGATATTAAATATCGAATGTCCAATCATAATTTCGCCTTCAACCCTTTGCACTAGGGAATTTTTTGGTAGGAATATTTTAGTATTTGATGATGAGATAGAGACGATATTTTGGGAAATTAAACTCAAAGAGAAATTGCACGTACATCGAGGAACAAAGCTGTTTTATTTCGATAGTTCTCAAATTGATGTTATACGAGGTATGATATTAAATATCGAATGTCCAATCATAATTTCGCCTTCAACCCTTTGCACTCGGAAGTTTTTCACTAGAAATATTTTAATGTTCGATGATGAGGTGAAGACGGTATTTTGTGAAATTAAGTCGAAGAGAAATCTTAAATCTCTCTCTGACAATACTTGTCAAATTAATGTGTTATACGTGGTATGATATTAACCCTTTGCGGACGAATGTCGACATTTTGCGAAGATCAAACTTTCATGTTCGAAATACTAAGCTATGAACAAATGATTTAACTATTGAAACAGCAAGAAAGCAGTATATGGTTTCCTTATTCCCTATTATTTAAGCATTCTATATCTAATTTGGCGGAATCCGCAGATTCTGTATACTTTAAACAATCTTCGTCATACTCGAATAAACAAAACACTCAACAGATGAAGCTAAATTATACAACAATTGCTTGAACAACAGGAAAATAGGAAACTTTGTGCTGATCTCCTGCTATTCCAATAATTGAATCGTTTGTTTACGACTCAGACTTCCAAATAGGAAAATTTCATCTCGTCGACATGTCGACGTTCGTCCGGAAAGGGTTAATTGGTTATTATCGCGACTATTAGTTTCCGCGCGAATTTACGGGGGAACGAGGAGGAAAAAAGAAGTTCGGCTCTCGGAAATCGACGGGTTAGACGCCGAGTGTGTCTCGGCGAGTTTACGTTGAAAACGATCCGCGCGTCACGGTTCGAGCTGCGTCATGCCTCGTCATTGGTCCGTCGATCGGTATCGACGTCGATCGTCGCCGGGTTAATCCCGCCTGTTCCGTTCGCGAGTTCCCACCATTGACGATGGAAACTCGTGGAAACTTCGCGGAAACTTGACGGAACGAGAAAGAGGACGAGTGAGAGTCGTTTGAAACTGATGAACAGTCGCGATTTGATTGAGGATTGTCGCGCTTTTATGGGAAATTTGGAAGCGCCCGTCGAGTGCACGCGACGCGAGACATTGTGGAATGAAGTTAGAATATTGATATTGGAATTGAAATTAAAATTGAAATAGATGTTGAAGTTTAAGTTGAAATTGATATCAAAATTAGAATAAAAATTGATGTTAAATTGAAATTGATGTCGAAATTAGAATAAAAATTGATGTTAAATTGAAATTGATGTCGAAATTAGAATAAAAATTGGTATTAAATTGATATTGATGTCGAAATTAGAATAAAAATTGATATTAAATTGATATTGATATTGATATTGAAACTGAAATAAAAATTGAAATAGATGTTGAAATTTAAGTTGAAATTGATATTGACATTGAGATTGATATCAAAATTGAAATAAAAGTTGATATTAAATTGAAATTGAAGTTGATATTGAAATTGATGTCGAAATGGAAGAAATTGATATCAAAATTGAAATTGAAATTCATACTGAAATTGAGATTGAGATTGATATCGATATTGATATTGAAATTGATATTATAAAATTCAAATTCAAATTCAAATTCAAATTCAAATTCAAATTCTAATTGATATTACAAACACTATTAAAATTAATATTAAAACATGACACATCGAGATACACAAATAGATACATTAATACAATTGTCACTGATGATAATAATAATAATAACAATCATAACACTCGTCCCTTCCTCTCAATTTTCCATCCTTATTCTCCAATACACAATTACTCGCGATTTTAAAGAGAAATTGTCAATTGTACATTCCAATTCATTCGTTCTCAGCTGAAACTCTCCATCACTTCGATCTATCTATTGATCGTTAACCTTAAGAGTAAACGCAGATTCCTCCTCGTTTTCTAAGAAACTATTCTCGACGGAGTCTCATTCTCATGAATGAGAAACATCAAAGGGGTTGACCTTACTTAACAGACCACGTAACAATGATGTCAGACTGAACGTGTAGGATTTCTCATGAAAATCGATGTTTTCCTGCCAATTGAATAATAGCTCTGTCATAGACTAAAATACAATATCAATAGACTCGCGTGACGTCGATCGAAACATCTAGTTCCAAACAGAGAACATTCGAAATAGAACAGCCGGAGCAATCTACAGTGCATCAATTTTAATCGATGTCCATAAAGATTCGCCGAAGAGAAAACAAACGGACGTTCGAAGGATGAAACGACGCGTTCGGAATTATACATCGATTTTCGATTTTCCCCGGCAAATTCCAGCGATCACTGGGTCAGATACGAGCTTATTATATCGGAATTACAAGTGTTTTGTTTTTTATAGTAACCTGTTTTAAATATAGCGCAAATCCCCGTTATCTCTGCAGCAGGTGGTGTTCTCCCGAAATTAATCCTTTTAAACCGTATCGTCCGTTTCCTTCGAATAAAAATAAAGTCATATTCGGCCGTCATCGAATTATAATCCGAGCGGTAGATGTAGATCCGCTGCGAGCGTGGAATCGAATTTCCTGCGAGCGTACAATTCGATTTTGTAATAGAACATTATCGATGATTACGCTTTCGTCAGCGTAACTGCGAGAAACCGCGAGGCAACTGGTATTTATTTAATTACTCGCGAATTATGCGACAACCTAGATATATATATATATATACTCGAGGGAGATGGCAAAGCAACGTTTCGCCAGTCGTCATTTCGCGAGGGGAAAGAAGATTCTTGTTTCGAAGGGGAACGATCGATATCGATTTCGTCGTCGGAATCGCCGACGATAGAGTAACTTCGATTTATCTGGGAAATAATGAAATGGAATTAATTCCAGCCGATTAACCCGTGGAATCAGGGGCGAGATTGATTCGTGGGTGGTTCGCCCGGAGCGATCCATGTAAATGAGGGTGATGGGAAGATGGAAAAGTAGGAAAACACTGTCATGAAGGGGTTGGGGGAGGTCAGGATGACGGGGACGATGGAAATGATGGAGAAGTGGAGGAAGAGGAAGCAAGCAACGAGACATTAAAAGAGAGACGAAGAAGGTACTTGCGAATTGGAAGTTGGAAGAATCATTCCCTGGGGGTGGTTGATACAGGATCGTTTAGTAGAAGGTGGTTAGTAGGCTAATGATGGAAATTTGTCATTGGGATATCATGGGCAACGAAAGATTCTTGTTTCTTTTGATCTAAATGAATTGAAATGCAGTTTTTAATCTACAGAGACGTATTTATGTGACATTTGTCATTAGGATTTCAGGGTAGACGAAAGATTCTTGTTTCTTTTCATCTAAATGAATTGAAATGGAGTTTTTAATGCATAGAGATATGTTTACGTAAAATTTTCCATTAGGATTTCGAGATGATTCTTGTTCCATTCAATCTAAATGAATTGAAATGCAATGTCTAATGCACAGAGATATGTTTACGTAAAATTTATTAAAATTTCGGAATTATTCTTATTTCTTTCAACTTAAATAAACTGAAATGCAATTTTTAGTATACAAAGTCGCATTCACATAAAATTTCTCATTAGAAGAAGAAGAGGATGCTCGCAAACTAAAAGCTAGGAGAACCATCACCTAGAAGGGATGACCGATACATTATTGCTTCATAGACGATTACTGGTACACAAATGACAAAAATTAGTCACTAGGATATCACAGTAAACCAACAATTCTCATTCCCATCAAGCTAAATAAACTGAAATGCAATGTTTAATACCCAAAGTCGCATTCACATGAAATTTCTCATTAGAAGAAGGGGGTGCTCGCGAATTGCAAGGTGGGAGAGCCATCGGCCAGAAGGGGGGGTGCCGATAATGCCGATAACGACGGCGTCCGATCGGCAATAAACTCGAG